AAAGTCGGACGCTTAACCGACTGAGCCACCCAGGCACCCCAGGGGTATTATTTTTTTCATGAAATGTTTTAATTTAGAGACAAAGAGTTGTGATTTTCATAAGGAATTCCTGAGTTCCTGGGGCAGGGATGGATGTCTGTGATGGGGCACAGTGTGAGAATTCTGTGCGTATGCACATGCTCACACACAATGCACATGTAGTCACTTAGAGTAGCTGAGTCCTCTGTGCCAAGTATTGTGTGAGATGTTTTATATATGTGATCCTATTTTGTCACAATGACAACTCTTACAGGATTAGGATTACTAGTATTACCATGAATTTGCAGGTAAGGAAAGTGAGATTCAGAGATACGGAAGTAAGCTCTCTGAGAGGGGGCAGTAATAACGTGTCGAACCAGGACTCATACCAGAGTCTTCTGACCCTGAGTCAAGAGTGCTTTCCAGGAAAGATGACACCCACGTGGGGTGAACATAGAGACCCCTGGGAGTGAGGGTGAGGTTGTTCCTTTGTCCACCACGTAAAAGATGTCCCTACACCACGGACACACTCCTTTCCTCACCACCAATAGAGGGAACTAGCCAAGTACTTCCTATCATGGTGCATGTGCCAATCTAACTTAGGGTCTGGAAACTTCTCCTTTGGTGTCTCAATGTCCTTTGCTCACAATGTGACTATAAACGAATGAGATTTATTTGACCGATACATATAGAAATAAAGCAAATTTCTTTTTGGCCATGCCTTACATACACGTATATATCCATTTGGGGTTTCGGAAGCCGTTAGGTGAGCTAAGTCTGTTACTGACTTATCTCCTATTCTCCCGCAGGTGTTATGGGAGTGAACCGGGTTGGGAGCCTTTGGTAGAGGAACGTAGCCATAGCGTTAGCCCTGCCTCAGGTTCTGAGACACCCGCAGCTGCTCCCTTCACAAGATGCTTCACAGGGAAATATTTAAAAGGCAGGTTGGCAGAGAGGTCTAGGCTTCCCTCTTGGAAAGAAATCTTCATCTACTTTTATGCTAGAAAACAACACTTCCTCTGTCTGTATAGTTGGAATACAGAGTTTTTTGCTTTTAAAAGTCCGGAGGGCTCTTCCTTACAGCTCCCAAAACACCCTGATAAAGCCTTGCCCACAAGGTACAGCCGGCTCATCGCCTGCTACGGGCCACATGAGCCGAAATGCTGCTCTGGATCCAGTTTCTCATTAAGGACAGATTTTTGTGGTTGACCATGATTGTTGGTTTATAAATACAGAGTGCCATATATGCTCAAAAAGGAAGATAGAACAGAGATTTTTAAACTTGAGTGTGCACATGAATCACCTGGAGCTGTTGTTAAAATGCAGATTCCAGATCAGGTCTGGGCGGGGCTGAGATTCTCCACGTCTAGCTGCTCGCAGGTGAGAAGCTGATGCTGGCCGATACGTGGGCCACACTTGAGGACCTACCAGTGGTACCCGGGGAAGAGCTCGTGGGGGATTCCTACCCCCACCCCCACCCGCACCCAGGCTTTGCTTCTAACCTCCTGGTCTGGCCCAGGAATGACTGTGTGCATCTTGGTGTCTAGGTTTGTCCACCCCCGCTTTGGGCCCATCAAATGCATCCGCACACTCCGAGCCGTGGAGGCTGATGAGGAACTCACCGTTGCCTACGGCTATGACCACAGTCCCCCGGGGAAGAGCGGGCCTGAAGCCCCTGAGTGGTACCAGGTGGAGCTAAAGGCCTTCCAGGCCACCCAGCAGAAGTGAAAGGCTCAGCCCTGGGCTTCAGAGACCTGGAATAGAAACTTGGATCTATGCACTACGTTTTCCGACAACGGGACAACCAGGGACTGCTCATGCTGTGACATCACATCCTCTCACGCTGCGTTAGCAACGACTTTCTCGCATACTAACTAGGCTTGACTGTATTACTCATACCAGATTTAAAATTAGCTAGCCTTGCAACAACGTCCTACTGAGAGGTATTGTCGAACACTTGACACAGCATGATGTTCTTGGGTGGTTCAAGTCTAAATCTGTACCACACTCAGAGATGCCAAATGATTAGACTGAAAAAGGGAAAGGGGGCTTTTCAGTCATTTTTAGCCAGTGGTTTTTCCATGATGTTTTTTCCTACGGCCAACACCAGGTGTGTTTTCACACTTGGTGTATGTGCCGTATGGAGGATAGAGAATTACTACATTTTTATTCTCTAAATGTAGTATAATTTGCCTTTTAACCTTTGATCTGTATCTTGCAATAGAATGGCTTTGTTTTTTTTTTTTTTCCTAGCGAACAGAACCCCACTTTTTGAGTCATTTCACCCCTCAGTCTCATTCTCTATCTTAGCTATATCTTTTATAAGAGAAAACTTCCAAATGGATTTCGTGTCCGTGCCAGTGCGTAGGTCTCTCTGGCTCTTTCTATATCATTGTTTCATTATTATGTCCTAATATAAAGAACTGGCTCAGAGGGCCAGGGTATTATTATAGAATTATTATTCTCGCATGTAAACAAAGATACCTTTGCTTTAAGATGTGAGAAGAGATGGGTTTACGTTGTTTGCATTAAGTTATGGAAGAGTTGTAATATATACTTTAAGAAAGGAGAGAGGGAAATTAGTACTTCTAAGCAGTAACTGTGGCAATTTTGCAATATCTTTAATAGTACTAGTAATTTCTTCTCCTCGGGTACACTTTAAATGTACATAACATAGAGCAGTCTGGCTTGTGGCACAGTGCATTGAATTCAAAAGTCAAATAACAAACTAGAATTCTAACACAGAATTCAAAAGTTGATTTTTTTTTAATTGCTACTGTTAAGAGAGACATACTGATCACTAGGTACAAATCTAAACCTTAATACTAAAACTCTTCATTATTGTAACTTCAAAGCACTTACCTGCTTCAAAGCATTGTGAATTAAGAGTAATACCTGTATAGTTTAAAAGCAATGATATCAATAGCATTTCAGCGATTTTGCGAGCCATGTGTAACCACAAGTGCAGAAATAAGGAGAAAACCCCTGTTTTTTTAGTTTAGCTAGTTAGGTATGTAACGTATCTGGGATCGCTCTGAATGAATTCTGAGAGTTCTGGGCTTTTGCCAGCGCCCTCACCACGTGCCCTAGCCATGTCTTGTTCAGATGCCTCCACAAGGCAGCTGGAAAGTTCTGGAGAGCAGCGGTGGTTCTGAAATGCAGCCGCTGGTGGTGGCACCTGTCACCTGAGCCGGTTTGGTCTTGAGAGCGACAGCCTTCCAAGCCAGTGGGGGAGCTCTGGCTGAGCACGGATTGCTTGGTAGCAGTGAGAGGAGTAAAGAAACAGGACAGAATTTGCTCCTTCTTGTCAGGGGCACGTTGTTCTTAGGAAGAAGTTAGCAAAAGTGCTCCATCCAGCGCTGTTCACAACTTTCAGTTCAGGCGGCCCCTGGACACAGGATTCAGCCCTCAAACAGTGACAGAAGGGGCCCCTCCCTCCTTTGCAGGGCCCAGCATCCTGGAGCTCCCCACCCCCCCCTGCAGTGCCAGGGCACGTGGCCAGTGCAAGGTGTGCATCCAGGTGGCGGTGGTTTCAGGGAGGATGAGCTGAGTGTTCACATGTGAGAAGTGGTCAGGGCTGCCAGAAAGATCTCCCGCAAAAGGAACCAATAGGGTTTTTAGATGAAAACGCAGCAGGATAGGATAGCTTCTTCTCTGTAGAAAGAGACCATTCTGTAGACAGCGACAGAAGGACAGTCTCGGGACTTGTATTCTGACGGGTGCTTTCATTCAAATGCGTCCCAAAGTCAGTGACTGTCTTCAGGAGAAAGATGGCTCTACTTGGCCCTCGGCCAGTTGAGCTGTAGAGCCAGGTCAGCGAGTGAGGTCAGGATGGAGCCGGTCACACTTCCAACACAGCTGTGCCTCGAGTGACGTCATTCCCGGGGACAATGTCATTCTTGCTGAGGCTGCAGTGGGGGTGTAATCTCTGACCTGATGGGTTATTGGAACTACCCCACTCAAATGGAATCTTT